ATTAGTTGAGGAGTTATCAAAATGTGTCAATTTGTTCAAACGTAACACTTTATTTCCCTTCGAAAATATGTAATTTGTTTGATTTTCCACTCCACCCCCCCCCGCGGTTTGACAGTTCAACGAAGCAACAGCGTCAGCTTGGGAGCAAATGCGTATCCTTTTGACGCGCCAACCGGTGATACGGACATTCCCAAGAAGCGAGCAGTCATCCTGGATGAGAATGGTGTGTGGCGCCCGGGCGAACAGGACGACAGTGAATCTACCGAGGGAAAACATTATTTGCAGTGTTCTGTGGCCGATCGTATAGCTGGTGAACGGGTATCCTATCGACTCGTACAGCAGCGCAGTCTAGATGTGAGTCGCGTGAGCGGCTTTTTTGCCTTGGCACATACCAGTTTGTGGTTGGTTGAGTAAAGCACAATTTCATCAAAATGCGTGATAGAACTGGTTGGTACCAAAATACAACAAAAGCCATAAAAATGTTCAAAAAACAAAAACTGGGCAACTACTGCTTGTTTTTGTTCGGCGACCGCAACACATAACCTACGTTTGTTCATAAAATATGCATTACGTTATTCAGAAAGTACATCTAAAATTAGACCTCACATTCGCAGAAACGAAATACGGGTTTAGGTTTACATCCGCTTGTCACAAACTGGCTGACCGCCAAGAATCGAAAAATGGACTGGTTTATACTCCCATAGAACACTACATAGATCTTTATTTTATTCAAACAAATATTTATTTATCAAGTTAGATGACTGGTTTGTAAAAATAACATTAAGCTGGTGAATAAACAGGATTTGATTGATTCATGGGCCGGTGAATTACAGTTTATGCCAGAACTGGGACAACTATCTGGGTCTCGTCAGATCAGAGAACACCATCAAGTTGGTCTCAGTGGAGGTAGGATTTGGATAGGGTAGGGGTGCCGGAATGTCGGAGTGTGATCACTGAAACTTGACCGGACCGATGCAGATATCGTTCCTTTGGGTCTATTCCGTCACACGGTACGGTGGAAAGATACTGAGGCTCGGTGTTCGCTGCAACAGAGGCGAGAATAATCAATCAGATTAAATAATCTCCCACCAAATGCGCGAGAACAACTTGTGAAAAACCTCTGGTTCAGATAAATCCATGTTTCCTAATCACCCGGGTTGAAGGTTTACAATCCACATATAATTATCACCAGTTACAAGGCCAATACTAATGAAATCTTCCTCTCAACCCATTCCGTGTGATAAACGTTTTGGACTGACAATGTGCACAGCACAATTACTTTGAAAATGTCCTTTCGAACGACTTCACTTTAGACTTACGCATAATCCGCAGTTCATATGGAGAAACACTGAACACCAGGGAAGCATTAGACGTACTTTTCATTTTTACTAAAGCTCCCCCGTAGTGCACAACCATCCACCAGTTCGTAATTAAAAAAAAATTTAACTGCTAATGTAGGACGCTTACACTTAACAGTCGCACCAAAACGGCTCCCACTCGGGACAACCAGATGATGATCATATTAGTTTTATTGGAATTTATGTTCTTCAGTAACAGTCGCTTGCTGTTCTCAGTTTGTCGATATGGGGGAAAATCTTAAAATTTCCAAAATATGGATTCAGTCCTCTGTACAGATGGAAGTAAAGTGGTCCACGTTTAGCTAAAGTTCACGCCCCTTTGAAATTTCAATCATATCCAGCGAATTTCGAGGAGGAAAGCGTTTCAATGCATCTGATATAAGGGGAAATCTACGGGGAGAGGGAGAAGAGGAACTGTGTATAATATGAATAACGGACCACTAATAGACTACCATTAAAGAAGGTATCCTAACAAATGTGAATTTTTTATCAAACACTTTATTGTAATGGACAGCAGACGGGGTAACCCATACTCAAGAGGACCTGCTGTTCAGTTATGAACAGCGGTACCCTAAGCCCCGGGACTTGGAGTGGCAAACCAGATGAGAACCCGGATAAGTTAGATGTAGTATTGAACCGGACGACGGTGAGGCTATCTATTACTTAAATTGTGTGGACGTGGCTGGGTTTGAATCACGGACAATCGGGTCCAAATCACATCGGTGACAGCAAATAAACCACTAGGCAGCCACCACCAAAAAGGGCACCAATGAAGCACGTTTTCAACATATGGGAAACAAGTTAAAATTTCTGAAATATCGATTCAGTGTGCTACACAAAGGAAAGTAACGTGGTCAATGTCAGCTGAAGTTTTTTGTCTCTTTAAGACGTCAAACATGCTCAACGAGCGTCCAGACGGGAAGCTTTTCAATGCATTTGAAATAGAGAAAGATCAACTGCAAGGTAGAGAAGGGGTAGTGTGCATAATATCAATAACCGATAAATTCTATCGGGTACGGAATGAAATGAAGTGAATGGATAAAAAGAAGTTGATTACTGTTGTTTCAATTTGGCTGTGTCCAATCAGCAGTGCAAATCAATCGACCAAATTGGGGGATTGAACCAGGAACCTCATATGTAGATTGTATGAAACTGAAATAAATCCACTTCTATTCCATCGGAACGAGTAGTCTTATTTGTACTGCATGCGATCGAGCTTTGATCGAGTCGGCTACTAGCAGGATGTCCGAGAAGAAATGCCAGCAAAATATTCCGTGTAAAGACAAAATGAAATAAAGGACCTTATAAACTACTTAGAGATCAATTGATTATCTCTTTTCTACTCTTTTCGCTTGGTCTTAGTTTTGTGATCAATGCATTTGCCCTACTGATCGAAACAACTGTACCATAGTTCTTCCCAGTTTTCCATTTCATCTTTCCTTCGCTCCGCATATGATGAAACTCATCACAAACGTGTTGTGTGTATACAGTTGGTAGCCAGTGTTTTAAACGATACACTGGTCCTGCTATCTGATCGTTTCCTTTGAGGTTTTTATGCAGAGACAGTACATCGATTTTGGTCGATTGCATTGGTTTTTATACAAGAAAAATCACACGTGAACTTCATTTACGGAACTATCCGGGGTCAGTAATTACCAGTGTTACCGTGCTCTATGCTCAGATCGTGCTAATAAGAATTGGAGAACTTTTGTGAGGACTTGCACCCTGCAAGTTCATCAAGTATGCCGTAGACTGTCGCAGAATAGATCAATCTTCATGGAGGAAGTTTATTTGAGTCGTATCTATGCGAAGATGAACTGTATGAAACTAACCACCAATCGTCCCCTTCGAATTTTCCCCTTTTCGGAAATGTCAAAATAGCGTTTGAGCCTAAATTGGGCTATCCATTTGTCATTCGGGGTGGGTTTTTCGGTAAGCCGTCCTCATCAGGTGCCTTTGGTTTTGTTGATGGAATTAAGTGGAAATTTCCAGCTGATGTGAAAAACTGTTATTCAGTGAGTGCAGCTTAGAGACACTGTTTACTGTGTAAAGTACTTGGAATCGCACAACATCTGTGTGAAACAAAGTGATTAAGTTTTATGGTATCTTTTTATCAGATTTGGTATTCACGTCAGACAGAGCGTGATGAGGTAATGAATATTCATGCGCAACAAAAAGAGATTGATGCAAAGTTTTGGAAAAGAGTGATACAGGGTCTCAACTCATTTACTTGTAGTCGGTATGTTCAGGCCCCAACATCCTTGTCATACATCTCACATTGTAATGAGACCGGTGCTTGAACGTAAGAATACATTGGAAATCATACATTTATGAATCAGAACTGAAGTTGTTTTGAAAACACAGAGAACTGTGTTTAGCTCTGGAAAGCATGAAGCAGACTGATATTGAAAGATGCTCTAGACGTGTAAATGTGTGTGTGTGTGTGATGACCGCAAGAGGACTGGACAGGTGCTTCGTTCTTTTTCACGCTCAGCATGCGTTTGTGTCGGTGTCTTTTTCGGATCTCAAACTTTTTGCACTGGTTTTCAAACCTGTAAATAGAAGAAAGGCTGTACACGATTCACTGTATTCGATTGAATAGAAAAATGTAGAATCTACTTTGAAAAGAGGCAACCGATCGATCAGGAGGACTTCATAATGAACAACTGAGCGGAGATTGAAGCGCGGATGGTGGTTGTGATGGTTCTGGTGTTGATGATCTTAGTGATGGCAATGAAATTGGAACACAAACTCCGAGCCAATGCAGCATTGGGCGACACAGACCAATAAAAACCAAATAGTAGTGTATGTCTTATTACAGCGCCCTATCAAAGATTGTAAAGGAGAGAATACGGAAAGGTGTAGTTCATTTATATTCACGGATCAGAGTCATGTGAAAAATAGCAGTATCTGAAGATAAAGTGTTTCTCAAATTGATTGATTGATAACAATTTCATTTAAAGTAAAACGACGACAGTCTGGAGAACAACTATCTATATGCGGAACGGTGGTTTTGACATACATAATCACATGATTCATTTATCATGAAATACTGATAAACGTGGTGAAGTGGGGACATGTTAGAATATATCACGTGCCCGTAAAGTGGTCTGTTTGGGCTGGTTCTCAGTAGAGTGCTACGAATCAATACCGTGGGACCATTGAAGTATTCGTCATTGTCGTCCGAAGTTAACGGACTTCATCAACCAGGGATCGGAAGACATTTATGGATTAAAAATCCTAATGAAAATCACACAGATGAGACCGATTTGGATGAGATTTTGGATCAATCCACCACGTATTGTATATCAGATAAAAATGTCACCCCTATTAGGCTGCACGTGGCCACTCAACCCTGTGGTGAGCTTCACAATCATCGATTGATCCAGTGTTTTGTCCTACGAAAGGAGTTCTATGAATACCAATCAATCCATTCTATTTCGGATAACGGGGTGTTCTTCTGGTACTGTTATTTCACAAGAAAAACCTTCCAGAGGATAATCTGGCTATAGACTGGGTAATTTTGTTTTCCCCCAAAATTGCTCCTTGTCCATGGGGTTCATTTCTCTGTTTGATCCGTCAAACTTATGAGAGAACCGGCTTTCGAAACACACAATTTTGTGAACGGAAGTTTGGGATTTTTTATTGTGTATATGCGTATTGTTGAAAAGGGCTCACGTTTATTTAGTTTGTACATACTGTCTTCCGTAAATTTGATCTGACATCCAGCATCTGCTGACAGGATATTGAAATATCAAAATTATGTCACCCTCTCCCTTTGTACGTGTCTTTCAGAAAGAGAAATTGTTTATAATTTGAGTGGGGGTATTTCTAACACGGAGTTCTTCCAGCAGAATGCTATTCGTACAACTAATACGGGGCATTTTGGCTGAGCGAAAATTCGCACCATCATAATTCACTTGTGACGCATTAACCTTAAGCGGCAATGAACGTTGATAGTCAGCCGTCCACAAGCGCATTGTATTTATCTACTTT